ACCAACAGAACTTGAACACATGACACTTCGAGAACCTCCACGTGAGGCACAATGGTTGGCTGACAACAGAACACAGATCCAGACAAAAGCCTTCAGGCTCGGGCTCCAGAATGCTCACCTATACATATATATACACATAATGAGCTAAAGCCCAATGAATAACATTAAGGTAAAGGGTTTAGTGAACGAAATCCGAATATATTATAAGCAGAAAACAGACCAGAGCATAATCATTCTCATATCAGAACATAATAATGGTACATCCCATAGAACACATCACAGAATGTCTTCCGACTAGAGTAATCGGTTCCGGATACCGATTAAACACATATCACCACAATGAAGTGGCTAACGAGATCTCGTAAACACATGAATGTCATGGACCCGCATTTTCATGCCGTCCCCCATGACTTGGGACTATTTATGGATGCCATAATAGATTTCAAATACGGAATATTCGTTCACAAAAACAAATATCATTTTAGAAAACATAGCTTATCACATTTCATTTGGAACATAATTCATATAAACATATCTTTGCGATAACGTTACTCACAGTGGTTCCAGTAAGCGGTCAATCAATCCTCGAGTCTTGACCTACAATCACAAAATACATGACACAAGAATGTCTTATCATTACACATTCAAGTGGCCATTAAGGCTTAGCTTTCATTACATTGGTTCTTATTCTTTCTTATCACAATGCTTAAAACACACACACTTGCAGTCTCGGAACTTAATACATTCTTTCTATAGTGTGTTTCTAATTCATAACCTCATTACTATGGCTTAATTAAGGCTTATGAATGCCTAAGATGCAATGAGGATGCCAAAACATGCCTTGAAACACTTAGGCAAAATTTATGAAAATAAGGTCCACGCGCGAGCGTAGCTTTACTTGCTCGAGCGGACATGCAGAATGTGAATGGTCGCTCAAGCGCACATTCCTTCGCTCGAGCGATCTGTAAAAGACATGAAACTTCTGAGGGCTTGCAATTCACGCTTGAGTGGACTTTTGGTCGCTCGAGCGGAGTGCACGCACTCAGATTGGTCGCTCGAGCGTGAACTTCCACGGTCGAGCGTAGATGCAGAATCTGGAATTTCCAGATTGCACCTCCAAGCTCAAAACTCGAAATCCAACCTTCAAAACACATCTCTTGGGCCCCAAAACTTGAGATAACATAGCAAACTTGTAAAACATGAAGAATTTAGGATCATTTCATAAAATTATGGCCCAAGGGTTTGTTAAAAACTCACAATTTCAACTTAAAACACGATGAATGTTTATGAACACAACATACATGAATTTTTCTTGTATCAAACTTCTCAAAACATGATCAAACACCACAAAACAACTTGAAACTTGATGATTTCCCCAAATGAAGATGGATTTCAAACATGCAAGAGAGGATTCATGGAAATCATGCTCAATTTGTAAGAAAATGTGCATGCATGCATGAATTGCCACTCAAATCTTCCTTCTAAGCTCAATACACACCCTTAAACGCATAATCTTGAAGAAATTTCATGTTAAATGACTTAGTTACACAATCTAGAGGTTGTAATCTTACCTAGAGTCTTGAATTACTCTTGTTCTAGCACAATCTATGACCAATTCAAGCTATAGTCTTCAATTCTTCTTCAATCTCTTCCTTTCTTTCTCTAGAATCGTGCTCCCTCTCTCTCTAAAATGTTTCACCAAATTTTTTTCCACTCAAGGGATAAAAGAAAATGAGCTCAAAATGAGCTTATAACTCACATATAAAGCTATGATGCTAAAATACACTAATTAGAACATAAGGCTTGCCAAACGCGACTTAACGAATCAGACTGAATCAATTTTTAATAAAATTTGCCATAAGGTTCTAAAAATTCCAAATAACATATCGGTGTAGTCAATTTCGGTTTCGGATGCCGATAAGGCTTTTGATTTACATATTAAAGTGGAATTCCAAACAGATATTTCTATAAGTAACAGATAGAAAGCCAAAATCATACAAAGTGCATAATAAACACATGATTTATTTTAATCCTCTCATTAACATCATTAAATACAGATTAGTGGCTAATTACGGATAGGGGTTGTTACATATCTATCCTTCCATACCTGGAGGTTATCCTCGTTATAGTACTCGTTTCGGTCTGATTTCTTCTATACGTCGCCCTCCTGGCCGACGTCATTTCCTTCATGATTCTTATCACGAGTCTCTTCGTTGTAGTTGTCTTCTTTGACGTCAAGGTCAATAGGTCTTCCACTCCCAGTAGGAGTGTCGTCCCCAATCTTCTCTCTCTGTCCGTCGTTGGCCATCTATTCTCCTTTCTTTCCCACAAACAGCGCCAAATTGTGTGTGTCAGTTTCCGATCACACTGCCAATCCAGCACTCAGATGGAGAACACTGGCAGAATATATTAAGCCTGAACGACCTACAACAGAAAGAAGAGATTCTGGCGATGGTTCATCCACCCGGGGACACTCCGACGATCAAGTCAGTATATCTCTCAAAGATAGAAAAAGTGCTTAACTCACTATTGAGAATACAAAAAGCATACCTTAGACCCATGGGGGTGCCTCTCTTTTATAGCCAACACAAACCTAGTCCCAATAGAAGCCTAGCTTCAATGGACTTAGGATTATTACTAATCTTGGACTCCCAGTAGGATTGAGATAAACTCTCTAAGAGTCTTATCTTTACCGAAACTGAAGTCTTCTCTCATTTTAGGACTCTTGTCCCTTATCCGCTTATCCTGGATTCTGGTATGTTCGCAGATAAACTCGGCCTAGCCAAGATGATCTCGACGTCATGACCAAGACACGTGGCATCTCAGCTGGCACTTCGATGACACCTCAGCCACGTGTTGTCATTCAAAAATCATGTCCTCACAACTGCCCCCTAGGTTCTATTATCTCGGCATCCTGAGGTGATGGAACCTATATCATTCCTTCCTTTAATCATAACCCCGGTTTAACTTCAACTTGTAAATTTTTCTTAAAATTTCAACAAGTGTTAAACATGACCTTGGTTGAACTTCAACTTATAAGTTTTTAAAATTTCAACAAGTGTTAAACATGACCTCAGTTTAACTTCAACTTGTAAATTTTTCTTAAAAATTTCAACAAGTGTTAAACATGTCCTTAGTTTAACTTCAACTTGTAAATTTAAATTTCAATAAGTGTAAAACGTAACCTCAGGTCATCTTCAACTTATAGATTTTTCACAATTTTTAACAAGTGTTAAACATAACCTCAGTTTAACTTTAACTTATAAATTTTTCACAAATTTCAACAAATGTTAAACATAACCTCGGTTTAACTTCAACTTGTAAATTTTTCACAAATTTCAACAAGTGTTAAACATGACCTCGGTTTAACTTCAACTTGTTTTAGCAAGTGTTAAACATGACCTCGGTTTAATTTCACAAATCAATGCCTTCTTCTTGGTTATAACCTTGGGCTACAAGTCTAACTTTGTTTCGAATAACAACCCTGGATTTATCCATTTTGTTTCGAAAAACCCACTTAGTTTCAATAACGGAATGATTCTTAAGACGAGGAGTCAGAAACCAAATTTCATTTCTTTCAAACTGATTTAACTCTTTTTGCATAACAAAAATCCAGTTTTCATCGTGTTCATCCTCAGAAAAAGTTTTTGGCTCAATTTGAGAAACAAAAGCTAAATTGTCGCAAACGTTATGAATAGAATAACGAGTTCTTACACCTTGTGTGGCATCCCCTATAATGAGATCTTTGGGATGTTCATGAGCATACTTTCATTCTTTGGGTAGATCATTTTCCTTCGTTGGCTGGGCATATTCTTTTTGAAGGTCTTCCATAGAGACTTCAATATTTGGTTCCGAAGAATGAAGTTCATCATTTTTTGATAAGTAAATGCCTTTAATTCTTGGATTAGAGTCTACAACATCATCAATAGCAATATTCTTGGAAGCAAAGGAATTAGATTCATCAAAAGCAACATGTATGGATTCTTCAACGAGTAAAGTTCTTTTATTAAAGACATAATATGCTTTACTAGAATTTGCATAGCCAAGAAACATGGCTTCATTAGATTTTGCATCAAACTTCCCAAGATTTTCTTTATTGTTATTAAGTACAAAACATTTATAGCCAAATGCACAAAAATGACCAATGTTGGGTTTTCTACCTTTCCACAATTCATATGGTGTTTTCTTGAGTACGGGTCTAATCATGGCACGATTAATAATATAACAAGCTGTATTGACGGCTTTTGCCCAAAAAATATCTTGGCAAATTATTTTCACAAAGCATAGTCCAAGCCATTTCCTCAAGAACTCTATTTTCTTTTTACCACACCATTTTGTTAAGGAGTTCGAGGAGCAGAAAAATTATGATTAATGCCATGCTCATTACAAAATAGAATAAACTCATTATTATCAAATTCTCTACCATGATCACTTTTAATGCTACAAATAGTAAGACTAATCATGTTTTGAATACGTTTACAAAGAGCTGTAAATACATAGAAAGTATCACTTTTCTGTGCCAAAAAAATCACCCAAGTGAATCTAGTATAGCCATCCACACAAACAAGACAATAAGATTTACCACCAAGACTTAAAGTTCTAGAAGGTCTGAACAAGTCAATATGCAACAATTGAAGAGGTCTAGAAGTGGAAATAATATTTTTAGATTTGAGAGAAACTCTTGTTTGTTTTCCTTGTTGACAAGCATCGCAAAGTCTATCTTTTTCAAAATCAATTTTTGGTAAACCCACAACCAAATCAAGTTATGAGAGTTTTGAAAGCAAATCCATATGAGTATGTCCTAGCCTCCTATGCCATAGTCATCCAAAATCATTTATAGTAGATAAGCACTTAACATCATGATTAGGAAATAAACTATGTAAATCAAATATATACACATTTTCATACCTATGACCAACAAAAAGCACTTTGTTTTCAGCAGAATTTTTAATGGTGCAGTGGGATTTTTCAAAAATGACATGATTGCCTTTATCACACATTTAACTAATACTAAGTAAGTTATGTTTCAATCCTGCAACAAGCAACACATTTTCGATGATGGGTGAAGAAGGTTTACCAATACTACCTTCGCCGATGATCTTTCCCTTACCAAAGAAGAAGGTCACGTGACCTCCTTCTTTGGATTTAAGGGTTGAGAACATTGCTTTGTCACCGGTCATATGCCTTGAGCACGCACTATCAAGGTACCAGCGGTTGTTGCTAGATTTTAACCTAAAGCACACATCATCTTCAAGTGCTATCAAGTATAGATTTGCGACTTTATTCTTGCAAATATCCGTCTCCGAGTCGCTGTCATCACTGTCTTCTCCCCATGCTGCGATCATGGCTTTCTTCTTATCCTTCTTGAATTGTTTTTTGAGCTCTGAACATTCCAATTTGTAGTGTCCCAACTTGTTACATTCATAGCAAGTAACTTCAGATTTTTTATGATTTTCTCCTTTTTGAAGATCTTTGTTGAAGTCTTTTCTGAAGAATTTCCTTACACCTTGTTTTTTCTTCACAAATCTTTTGAATCTTTTGGTAATAAAAGCCATTTCTTCATCTTTTTCTGAAGCATCTTCTTCTTCCTCTTGAGATTTTGAGGTGGACTTGAAAGCTATCCATTTCTTCTTATTCTTGTTTTTCTTCTTGCATGATGATCTCATGGATTAGGAGAGATCTCATTAGCTCATCAAGACTCAGTGTTGACAAGTCTCTTGCTTCTATTACTGCAATAACGTTGTTCTCCTAACTTTTTGGCAATGATCGGAGGACTTTTGTGACAATTTTTGCATTAGTATAAGTCTTCCCAAGAGATTTAAGGTTGTTTATAATATCTGTAAAGCGAGTGAACATTTGTGATATGTTCTCATCTGGTTTCATCTTGAAGAGCTCAAAGTTATGAACAAGTAAGCTCACTCTAGACTCTTTGACTTGAGTGGTTCCCTTATGAGTTACAATAAGTTTTATCCCAGATTTCTTTCGCTATGGTGCAAGTGTATATTCTGTTAAACTCAGTAGCATCAAGTGCACAATACAACATATTAACAACTTTGGCATTTGATTGAATATCTTTATAATCAGCACTAGTCCACTCACTCTCAAGTTTGGGTATTAGCAGACCATTTATCGTTTTGGTGGGGACCTTAAGACCATCACAAATGATTTTCCAAACCTCATAGTCAATAGATTGGATATGCATAATCATATGGGTTTTCCAATAGTTAAATTTTTGCCATTGAAGAAGGGTGGTCTGTTTGAGGCTTGACCTTCAGGAAGTGAGGAGCTAGGGGTTGCCATAAATCACTCTAAGACGGTTAAGGCACAATATTAGAGATGAGGCTTTGATACCAATTGTTATATAGGAAAACAACCCAAGAGGGGGGTGAATTGGGTAATAAAAAATTTAGCTAGAAAATAGATTTTAAGGTCTAAGAGATTAAATGTTGCAGATAATACCAAGTACACAGAAAATAAAGGAAAGGAAAGAAAAGCTTGATACAAGGATTTATAGTGGTTCGGCTCACAGGCCTACATCCACTCCTCAAGAGGCTTCCTTGAGAATTTCTTCACTAAGAATCAATGCACCACCAAGCTCCTCCTAGCTTGTGGATTTTTACACATGACTTATTTCAATCTGTTGAGAATCTCTCGACTAAATGCCTCACTTTACAAGTATTTCACTCAGAAAAATAAGGAACAAAAGTAAGAGGTATAACTGTCCTTTTTACAAATATTCTCTTTTAAAATATGAATATGAAAGTGTAAGCTCACAGATTACTCACTCAGATATGAAAGTTGAAGTATAAATGAAGTATGTTAAATGCTCTTGAATGCTTTGGGTATGTTATATTTAAGAAGTGTATTTAATGAACAAGTAGACCTCTATATTTATAATATTGATGGCTTCTCACTGTTAGAGAGAGATGAAATTTGAATCTCCTAGCCGTTGAAGAAGATTACGGAGGATATCCTTCAGCTGTGTTTGATTAAAGCACGGTGAGATGCAGACTGTATGCAGGTTTTGGGAAGAGAAGGCTCAATAAATGCATGAGCTTTTAATTTAATGCTCTCCTTCATAAGTCAACTTCATGGAGAAGATATGGTGTCAGAAGATCTGCTCAGGGGTCAAAAATGATGACATACTCTGCATCTAAATATGAAAAAGTGAATAAGAAAGGGGCTGTGTCAGTACAGATATGATTTGGCAGCTGTATTTTTGAAACCCAGATTTTACGGTTGTCGACCCCTGCAACTTGGGTGTCGACCCTTTGCTCTTCCTTTCTACTCTGGCATACTCTTCTTTTCTTCTCTTTTCAAAATTCACACAATTCCACACTTAAATCACAATTCTACAATTAAATCATAATTCCTAAACTAAACCAAAAGGAGCCTAGCTTTTTATAGTATCTAAGGCTACATTTGTTTAGTGGATCAGGTTGGATAAGATTGTTAGTGAGGGGATAGTTAGTGAAAAGATTGTTAACGTGAGGATTGTTAGTGAGGGGATAATTAGTGAAAAGATTGTTAACGTGAGGATTATTAGTGAGGGGAATAAGTAAAACTGTATTTGTTTTGATGATAGTGTGTGAGATAGTTAGTGATGGAACTGCTAAATTATTTTTATATAAAATACAAATAAAATATTTCTATATTAAAAAAATTCTAAAACAAATATATATATATATATATATTTACAAATAATAGGCTGCGAGAAATCATAAAAAAAAAAAAAAAAAAAAAACCTTAATCCCTCAGTATTTTTCCAATCACACCTTCTCCCAGCAAAGTTAATCCGGTCAGTGAGAGGAATTGTTAACATCGCTGGATTAACACTCCAAGACTTATAAGAGAGAACCAAAGATGGCTTCATGGACCAAGGAGGCATCTTGGTCCAATCCTACCCTCCAAACTGTCAAACAAATGTGACCTTAGAGTTTGTTTGGGGTACATTAAAATAGTAATATTTTTTAGGTCTCATTATTATTGTTATTGTTATTATTATTAATTTTTACATATTTTTATAAAAAATTAAAAAATATATTTAGGATTCATTTAATTTTTTAGCTTTTTGACTAATTTCATCGAGCTAAATTAGTTCCGTTTGGAAATAACTTTTTGATTTTTTTAACTTTTTTTTTTGTGAGAAAAAAAGTAAAATGATTATAGTTTATATGTGACATTTGTCTTATTGGCTTATTTAGCCTATTTTGACAGCACAATTAAAAGTTAGTTTTTTGACTTTTTTAAGTCACATCACCTCTCTATTTTTTTTTACACATTTTTCAAAAAAAAAAAAAAGTGAAAAAGTCATATTTTAACTTATTATTCAAAATAGCTGTGCTTTTTTAGTTCTAACCCAAACCCAATCCATTTGCCAAACGGCAGCAGCTTCGATCATCTCAAACAACTCATAATTTTGTTTAAAGAAATAAAACAATCTAAAATTAATTATAGTTACCAAGTCTTTGTTTGGGAACAGGCTATTTTAGTAACTTTTTGACTTTTTACGAAAAGATGTGCAGAAAAGTAGAGAGGTGATGTGACAACTTTTAGTAACTTTTTGACTTTTTGGCTAAAATAGCCACTCCTCAAACGAGGCCTTAAGTCTATTTTTTAGTTTTTTTATTAATTTAATTTAGCTAAATTAGTTCTGTTTGAAAATAATTTTTGATATTTTTTTTTGTTTTGTTTGAATGTGATGATTGTAGGAGAAAAAATAAAATGATTATACTTTAAATGCGAGATTTTCTCTTATTAGCTAAATTAATCTATTTTATCTTTTTATATTTATTTAGACATCTTATCTCTTCCCAAATAAGGTCTAATCTTATCGCTCTATATTTTTCAGAGAAAATTAATCTAAGGTCTCTCTCTAGTTTTTAGTAATGGGAGAGATCCACAATATTATTTTGTGATGGCTAAAGTCCTTCACCCATCCTATATGTCTCACTTATTCTCATTCTCTCTCTCGCTCTCATCTTTGTCGCTGTTTCTCTCTCCTCTCTCTTCATCTCTACTGTTGCTTCCTTTACTATTGCCATCTCTCTGTTGCCGCCTCCGACGAACTTATTGTTTGAAAGGTCGTATCGATGAACCTCTTGTTTGAGCTCAACGACTTGGAGCTTATCGTGTTTGTCTATGAACTAGAGTTTTCTCTTTTTCTCTCTTTACGCTCTCTCTACCGATTTGTCTTGCTGACAACCAGGTCTCACTTGTGATGGGCTTGACAGGCGTGTAAGGTTGATGTTTGATCATGAGGTGAGAATGGACGAAGCACAGCGTATGAATGGACGAAACACAACGTATGAACTAAGAATAAGTCGTCTATTTGCATCAGATCCATGGGAAGTAGGTTGTCCATGTGTTCTATTTTCCATTAACTAATCAGTGCAGTGGTTTCTTCTAATTAGGTATACATTTGTTGTTGGTTATGTTCATATATATATATATATATTAACTTGGTTGTTTTTCAAATTTGTATATTCCAACTTGTCAAAGAAATTGACAATGAGATTTGTATATTCCCAATCTATTTGATTATGCACTGAAGGTATTTGTTGTTATGCTTATGAGAAGTGGTTAGTAAAATTTCTTTGGCCATATTTGTAGAGAAATTTTATAAACACATAAAATTTAATCAAAACATAGAGAAATTTTGAAAACACAGATAAATTTCAATTCTATGTGAACAAAACCAAAAAAATTTATGAACAAATTCAGAGAAATTTCAATTTTCTTTTAATTTCTCTGGTTTGAATCCAAAGAAATTCTCATTCCACTCTCTCTCTCTCTCTATATATATATATATGTATATTTATTTTTGTTGTTAATTAGGTGATCGATTTTGTGTATAACATATCGTGACTGGGAAGACATAAATTTTCTGGTTTGAACGCAGATAAATTATTTATAGAGAAAATCTCTAGACTGAAATTCAGAGAAATTTTTTAGTTTTCTCAGAATTTCTCTGGAAAAAAGTTCTTTGAGAAGTCTAGATAAATTTTCTAGATCGAATTTTTTCTGAATCAATATTGAGAGATTTTAAACATTATAAAAATATTAAATATTTTTTATGTTATAAAATTTTAATCACAAGAACCTTAATGAATTATTTTATAATTAACAAGTAATAATGGAACAATGCAAAAAGAATAATGAAGTCATCGAATCACGACGCTACAGAAACCCTATATAGCTCCTCTCGCTCCCTATGCTATGCCATCAAAGAGCGGTCCCAAATTGTTTTTTTTTTTTAATCATTTATGGGGTGTCATATCATATCTTCCCCACTATTTGCACTTGGCTTATGAGAACAATAACCAAACTGCCATTTTTGTTTTTTTCTTATTCGATTTATTTATTGATTTGGTAAATAAAGTCTATTAATAAGGTGATGTTTTGAGGAGATAGTAAAAAATTAATATTTTAATTTTTTTGTGTAAAAAAATAGGGAGGTACTGTGATACAAAAAAACTAAAAATCTAAAAAAAAGTTAAAAAGCTAAGGTGTCGTTTGGTAACACTTACGTTTTCAGTTTTCTGTTTATATTTACAAAAATTTTAAAAACTTAAATAAAAACTTGTTTGGTAAATTTTTGATTTATAAATCAATGGTCTCAGTTTATAAATTTGGCCAAAAAAAGTAAACTCAAAAAATGTGTTTT